TGATCTATTATGAGCTGCTAAAACCTGGCGAAACCGTTAATACTGAACGCTACCGACAACAAATGATCAAGTTGAATCAAGCTTTGCGTGAAAAACGACCGGAATATCAAAAAAGGAAACACAAAGTGATTTTGCTTCATGATGATGCACCATCACACACAGCAAAACTGGTCAAGGAAACGATTGAGGCGTTTGGTTGGGAAATACTTTCGCATGCGGCTTACTCACCAGACTTGGCTCCGTCCGATTACTACTTATTTGCATCGATGGGACACGCACTTGCTCAGCAGCGCTTCACTTCTTACGAAGATGTATGAAAGTGGCTAGATGACTAGTTTGGCTCAAAAGAGCAACAATTTTTTGGCGTGGCATCCACAAATTGTCAGACAGGTGGGAAAAATGTATAGCTAGCGATGGGCAATACTTCGAATAAAATACTTTTTATCATTTTCATGCAATAAACGTGTATTTTCTATTAATAAATTCCGATTTCATATTTACATACCTGGTATAGTACAGTAATGCCTCAAAATACTCCTAGTGCTCAGTAGTACTTTTCTACAAAGAGGACATGTTATTTTATTACGCACAACTTTTTTTTCATCCAGAGAATTCCTCAAACAGTCTAAATTGTAAGTCATGTTAATAAACTCATGTAAATGCATTTTTTAATGTTCGCAAAGCGTTTTGCTTGTGTTGAAACAATCGAAGTGACTGACTGACTGACACACATTGATCAAAATCGTTCGAAAACACTGAAAATGTCAAAACAAAGATATATCAATACACTATGAATTAAGGTTAATGCGAAACAATGATCGCTTCACGTGGGAGTTATGTGCCCCTCTGCAGGGGGGGAATGGGGTGAGAGTTGAAGGTGAGAGTCGTACGCCCCTGAAGCAGGGGGGAGGGGGGTAAAGAGTAGTTTCATGTGGAAAATCGTAAAAGTTGTGGGAAGTTGCGAAATATACCTTAAAGCAGGAAATCTCGTTTCATCATCATATAGTAAAAAGAAGAAGTTATTTCTTAAACTTCGTTTATTTATAACATTTTAACGCGTAGCGTCCGACGGCTAAAACTTCCTGAAGGTTACTCAGGGCGATGATCTTGACAATATACGAGGGTCGTCTGAAAAGTTTTGAGCCGCATCATGAAGATGGCGTTACTCGTCAAAGACATTCTGGTATTATAGTTGTGATACTTATGAAAGATATCTGTGACAATTGTGGCCATTTTGGACGTTCCGTTCTCTTGTTTGACAATCATTTGTGTCGTCATTTTGTAAAAATGCAAAAAATTGAATACCGTGCTATAATTAAATTCTTGTATTTGAAAGGCAATACGTCTACGCAAATTAAAGCAGAGTTGGACGCTGTTTACGGGGACTCTGCCCCATCATTTGCCACCGTGAAAAGATGGGTAGCTGAATTTAAACGTGGTCGTACCAGCTTAGCTGATGATGAGCGCTCGGGACGGCCAACAACTGCGACCACCACCGATAATATCGAATAAATTCATCAAATGATAATGGACAACCGTCGAATTAAGGTTAGGGAGATAACAGAGGCTGTTGGCATATCAAAAGAACGTGTTTGTCATATATTGACTGAAGAATTAGGCATGTGTAAGTTAACCGCGCGTTGAGTGCCGCGCTTGCTCACTCTGGATCAAAAACGCATTCGAATGAACATTTCTAAGGCCCTGTTGAAGCGGTTTAAGCGAAGCGAGTTTTACGTCGATTAATAACGGTTGATGAAACTTGGGTCCACCACTTCACTCCTGAAACGAAAGAACAATCAAAACAGTGGACTGCGGAGGGTGAACCTGCTCCGAAGAAAGCGAAGACAGTTTTATCGGCGGGAAAGGTGATGGCAACTCTTTTTTGGGACAGTCATGGAATTGTGTTGATCGACTATCTTGAAAAAGATAAAACAATAACAGGGACGTACTACGCATCATTGCTTGACAAACTAAAGGCAAAAATTGAGAAAAAACGACCGCATTTGAAAGAGAAGAAAGTGCTGTTTCATCAAGATAACGCACCGTCTCACACTTCGGCGGTCGCTATGGCAAAAATTCACGAATTGCGGTTCGAATTAATTGACCATC